TTTGTTTGTTTGTTTGTTTGTGTGTGTGTTTATTTGCCAGTTGCCAGTGATAGTAGTACTTTATTGTACAATGTGACCTCGTCTAATATCCTTATCAGTTATAAATGTTCTACTCCCTATACAGTCGGCCTTAGTTGCTGTACTTTAATCTTGGTTATACTGAAGATATTTTGAATATTTTTGTAGATGATCAGGGTTATAAAAATGTTTTGAGTACTTTTGTTTTGATTTTTAATTTAAAATAAAAATGATTAAATGTGATCTTTCAGTGTAAAATATATGTTCACTCCAGGAAACAAATGTGTTGGGAATAAAAGGACCCAGAAGGATGACAATCATCATTCCAGGAATGGACAAGGACAACAACCGTGTACCAATACGACCCAAAAGTGTAAGATCTGTGATGGTATTCTGATGGTTGTTTTTGTTTTTCTGTTTGTCACAACAAAGAATTAGATTACAATTACAAAGTACATTATGTAAACATGTGCCACATTTCAGAGTACATACATACACACACACACACATATATATAATGTATATATTTTATTTATAGAACCCTTCCTGTTGGTTGTGAGAGAGAACCTCGAGGCTGGTGTGTGAGTCCCCTGTGCCCTCTGGTCTAAAATGACTTTGGCTGAATCTTCACAGGATTATGACAGCTTGTTGATGAGGCACCAGAGTAGACGGTTGGAAAATCTGATCGAGCTTCGCAACAAGACGCCAGTGTGGAACGAAGAATCTTCATCTCACGTGCTCAACTTTAACGGTCGTGTCACCCAGGCCTCCATCAAGAACTTCCAGATAGTCCATAGCAAGGATGGTGAGTACAGTATGTTCTGCTTTAAATCAGAGTGAGTATAACAAGCTTTTCAAACTAGATGACCCACAGTCCTGACACACCCACAACATTATTAATGCCAGTGTGGGATAGTCTAATATCATGAACCGCGTAGGATTGATTATCCTTTAATACTGACATTTTCAGCTGAATTTAATTGTGAAACCTGCTCCAGTGCATCTATCTATCTATCTAAAATCTGTTTTTGGCTACAGTACCACTGTTGACAGGAAGAGGCTGACTACAAAAATATCTGGCCTCAAATTAATTTAAAATTCACCAGATTCCCCATAAACATCTCCTTCTCATGTATTCATTATTGTTTCATCTTATTTGGGGAGCACTGTTGGCTTAGTGGCTAAGGAAGCGGACTTGGGTCCACCAGCTGTCAAGTTACCACTGAGGTGCCCTGACCACACACTGCTCCCCGGGTGCTTAGAGCTGCCCACTGTTCACTTTGGTGATGGGTTAACAGCAGAGGTCCCATTTGGTTGTGTGCAGTGGTGTGCTGTGTCATAATGACAAGGAGTTCACTTTCCATCCTTCACTAATTACAACATTTTTAATCACTCCTCCGACATTCCATTTGAAACGAAATCCAGCATCAGCTTCTTGTTTATATCACAACATAGTGCTATTAAAAACGTCTTTGTTTCAGTCTGAGGCGGACGTAATGCTGCACAATGGGGTGTGTGTGACATTTGTTCTATTTCTGCTCTCTTTTTATTAGCCATTCTGTTTGGTTGACAATTGTGCTTAAGGAGCATGAAGAATGCATTAACTGGATGAAACTTAATCACATGACTCACATCAACTATTTAAAGGACATCAATTGGTGTGGACATTATTATGTAAATTGTATTATTCATGGTGTCAAATCTTCACTGTTTGAACAGCCACTACATCGTCCCTGTAGGTTATGCTCTAGCTGCAGATCTCAGAGTCAGATGAGGAACAGTTATTAACATTTTGGTTTAGCCCAAATGCTAGCTCCAGCAGCTTCATCAACTTTTAACAATAAGACCGCTTTGAGGACAGACAGTTAGTTCTCTTTGAGGCAGATTAAGGTGAAAATTGATTCCATGTATTTAACCATTTCCTGTCTTGTTTAGTGGACTACATCATCATGCAGTTTGGACGCATTGCAGACGACATCTTCACGCTGGACTACAACTATCCTCTCTGCGCTGTGCAGGCCTTCGCTATCGCACTCTCCAGCTTTGATGGGAAGATTGCCTGTGAATAAGAAAAGAGGGAAGTTCCTGGTGTCCTGATGTTGCCTTCCACATGCTAACTGTGATCGAGCATGGTTGTCACTTTGTGTGACTTTGTTGTCACTTGAATTATCTGGTAATATGTATTGACTGCTGCTGAGTGAAGTTTATAAAGTAAAGTTGTTATCGCTGTAATCATCTGACCATGATTTGTCTCTCATTGTCCAGTAGAAGAGTTCGCTCAGGTCTTCAAGCAAACTCTCAAAATACAAGGATGTTGTATGAGTAAGGTGTTAAAAAGGCTAATTATCAGTAATTACAAGATATTAATTTAAAACACATTTAATCTTTGCCATGCTGTGTCTGATAAGGTGTTGGGGAGATGTGGATGATGTTAATATTTTCCCTTTTGAGCGGGAAACACACACAAAAATATACTATTGACAAAGTCATATTAGACCTGGAATTTATTTTATTATTTCAAATTTAATTGTATTTCATTTAAATGTTTTTAATTTAATTTTTAATTTAATTTTATTTCATTTCACCCTAGTTCATAATACAAAAAAAAAAAAAAAACACTAGTGATTGCCACTTGACCACCTGGATCTGGTCATAGAAAATGAACGGCTTATGTTGCACAGGTGGTTTAAATGAATATGAATCTACAACGTTGTCTGATTTAATTTCTGTCATTTGTTGCACCGTTTTATTCATATGAAAAACAAAAATGCTGTAAAATAACCATTTTAAAAAGAAAACTGATTTTGCAGTCAGGCTGTAAGCCGGTGCTAAACCCACTTTTATGGTCCCTGACGTGGCTTTGGCTTCTCTTTTAAAAATATGTTTTTGACATTATCGTCTGCTCAGAACATACTGCTGCCAATTCAGCCGGTTGCAGTTTGCAGAGACACCCTTGCTCATCTCCAGCTTACATGAGCACAGGATGAAAAACCTGTTTGAGGCGAGGGCCTGGAGAAATGAAAGGCGTGAATTCTGCCTGAACCTGCTCAGGCAGTTGTCCAGACTTGCAGATTAAATGAAGCACGACACTGGCTGCTGCTCCTCTGGACAGATGCTGTAAGGCGAGGTGCTCTTGCCTCATTGTCTTTCTGTTTATGTTAAATCCCTTCCAACAACTTCAAAGAGCTGCTGTTGGGTATTTTAAGGCCTTATCTTTCTTACACAGAGACACAGACACGGAATGAGATACAAATAATAATATAATAATAATTTGAGTTCTTTATTTATCCCACAATAGGGAAATTTATGTGAGTCTTTGCAGCTGACATAGGCTGCCACTGGAGGTGCCATTAAGTACATGGTTGCGGCCACATGGGAGGTATATGTGGTTCCTCTGGGAATCTAATCAACAGTTTAAGACTTGTAATTGGTTTAAGGTTTTACTTTGGCTGACTATATGAAATGAGCTTCAAAATGAAGACTTGAATGTGGATCATACGTAGAACAACGTGGTGCAGATAAATCACTTTCTCTGGCATTTGTTACTACAGTGAACGCAGGTTGATTTCTGTCTGTCTCACCTATCTGTCTGGTTTCTTCTAAACCACAACCATGTGCTTCTAGGACAACAATGTGTTGGGCGTCCTGTCCACACAGTCTGGTGGCTTTTACTGTATTACTTTATTTACTTTTACTTTAACTCTTACTATTGTCACAGAAATATACATAACAATATATCTTTCTGCTGTTATTGTTGCTCTGAGTTTATTCTAACACTTTTTGTGAAGACCATTTTCTTAAATGAGCAAAATTTAAATAAAAAAAAAATCTGATCTCCAGCAGCTTCCGCCACTAATACATTTCACAAAGAAATGTATTCAAATAAAAACCAAATGCTGTGAAATAATCTTTTCTGAATGCAGCTGTACTAAGAAATAAAGATATGAATAAATGACAGCTGCCTTGTAAATACACAGAGGACAGTCAGACCTGTAACAGGGTTATGAAAGAGCAGGTAGGATAGACGGAGCAGCAGACACTGAGGTGTGGTTTGTAGATCAGGCAGAGAATGTGATACTTTAAGAACTGTCAGGCACACAGACATTGAAATAATGTGTAATCATTTGTTACAGGTTTAAGTCAAATCCCTGTGTGAATGATTAAAGGGCAGGAGAAAGTGGTGTAATCACTGTACTTTATTGTAATTATCATTTCTTGTCTGCACTTTTTCTCTCTGTGACCACTTTAAAAATACACGAAAACTTCTCCCTGTTTACTACACCAAAACCACACCAAGGCTCTTGCAATAAAAGTACAACCCACATCGAAATGAACAACCACAACTGGTCTAAAGGTATGAGCTATGGGCTAGTTCATTCTGACAAATCACTAATGGGCATGTGGTGCTGTAGGGGCTGGCGTGTTTGAAAATGTCTTATGATTTGGACTTTTTTTAAAATATAAATAATAAAACTACAAACAAAAAGGTCAAACAATCATTATTTTGATTGTCATTGTGGCGTCTAAGTAATTACTGTAGTTTTCATCTCTGTTTACTATACGAACACCACATCAACTTTATGCAATAATGTAAACTACTTCCTGGTGGTGTTCTTACTCTGTGTACAAAAACAGCAAACAATCACAGGTGCTTAAGGTATCAAGGCTAGACAAATCAAAACATGTGGCACACAGTTTTTACAAATCAAGTATTCTTTACAATAATAAGTATTAACATTCACCACAGATAATTATGTAGGTATGTTCACATTATCACCTGTATTTTAATAACTCCTTGTTTAAGTAATAGTGTTGTAATTTCGTTGTCTGTACGACGGAGACTAGATTAAACGGCGGGAGCCTCGATCTGTGTTCAGGGTTGGAGTTTAAGGAGGGGGGCGTGGTCACACAAGTTATCCCCGCCCATTATGTGTGTTGATTGACGGGCGCTGGTGGCTCCTCCTTCAAGTCTCTTTTTTCCCTTCCTCCCTCCCCCTTCGTCTTCCAGTGTAGTGCGTTGATTTCATACCAAAGTCATACTTAACATTCCAGTTATACTGTCAAAGCTCTGAGAAATATTACGGAAAACAGCAAGGCGCCAAAATTACGGCAAAGTCACTAAAGTGAGCCGCTGTTAACAGAGGCACAGAGGCGAATAAAAAAGGTAAGTTGTGGACTAATGTCAGCTTTTCTCTCTTTACGCTCTTTCTGCGGGAGCCTCTCTCTCACATACACTCTGTGAGTGTGTGCATATTGTGTGTGCGTGTGTGTGTGTTTTCACGCCGCTCGTCTGGGTGAAGTTTTCAGATCTTTGTCATTTTTTACATTTTTTCGCGGAGCTCCCTGCCTTGGGAGGGAAGAAAACATTTGTGGATTAATCGTCTATTGTGTTTGACTTTGCCACTGTGCAGAAATATGTTTGACAGCCTCAGTTCACTCGTATTTACACCGGTATTCTCACATATACACACACACTTGATAAGTCACAAACAAACAAAAGTTCCACCGAAACGGACCGAAATGTCTGTGTTCTGTCCCGCACAGTTCACCTGGATCCCAGACATCCAGGCTCGTTCCTCCACAGAAGTTCAAAACCCGCACAGACACACGCAGAAAAACACACGCACGGTTTGGAGGAATACACCAGCTTCAGTGTGGTTTGGATCTGTGCTTCCTAAAAGGTAGGAAAAGTTCACTTCATATGGCAACATAATCAAAAACCAGCACTCAGATAAACATGGGTTTTATCAACAATAACGTTTCCAACTTTTCATGACGCGTAAACTGATTTTGTTTTAATTATTTGTTATAATAATGTTTTCAAAAGCATCTTCAATCTGTGGTTGAAAATCTAAAAGTTATATTCATACTCATACTCATTTAGCTAAGCGGCATACAAACTATAAAAAAATGTGCAAAAATATATTTAAAAAAAAGTTAAGTTCAAGTATTAACAGGAGTTTTCTTTATTTAAATTGATAGCCATAAGGTTTAGGGTGCAGGCTTCAGGTCCTAAATATGTCAAAAATAAATAAATAAAATACAATTAAAATAGATTAAATAAATAATAATTGTTATCACTGTTTTAATGTTTATTAGTTTTAATTAGATTTTCTAAATTACTGCCCATTTCCCTTTATTATTTGAGTCACGAAATAAATGCAATAGAAATTAATAATGATGAATAAAAGGCTGTTGTAAAATGAGTAAAAACATGCCTCTGTGAGCGCTAACTTTGAAATCAAGGACATGATGACATCATGTCTGATGTGGTGGTAAATAATATTCAGTGACCTGACCTCATTTATGTTAACAAAATCAGACTTAAATACTAGGTTGATATTATTTCCTACATATGTTTTTTTTTTGCCTGTATTTTTTTTACCTTCTCACTGTTTTCTTTTGTTTGTTTGTTTTTTCCTTTCAGTTTTCTTTTCTTTCTTTGTTTCTTTCTTAGCTGATAAGCACATTTTGGAGAAGCGACATGTTAACACCTCCTCCATCCCAAATGTGTTCAGTCATATGAGCTGTTCAGTTAAATCATTGCCAGTCAACAGGTTTGACTAAAACAACAGAATGCAGTCTGTCAGGTTGGTGACACTGAGCAGAAAAACCAGTTAACTCCACAGCTTTTTTCACTGCGGCACCAAACATTTGTTTTCAAACTGTAAATTATTTGCAGTCTTTTTTTAAAATATTTTTATTTTTCATTTGTTTACAGCCTTTGGAGGCCAACCAGTGTTAAAGCAGGGAGACAGTTTTCCCTGCCCTGTCTTTAATCCGTGGGGCTGTAAATTTAACCCTGACAAGCTTTAGCTCTGAACACTTTGAAGTCAGTTAAAGTCAGGATCTTTTGATTTGTCAGTGATGAAGACGATGAGACCATATGTTGTGTTTTAATGACCCACGTTTCATATTGTTTTTCTCTATTGTCTTCTGATTGAGATGTAAATCCACCATCTGAATAATGTTTTATATATTTTACATGTGGGAATTATCTTGAGTACTGAAACAACCACTTTCCAGTGGAAGCTAACAATGTGTCCTTGGTAAATGAGACACACCATGATGCCTAATAATAGATTCCAATGCTGATGGGTAAATCTGGAAAGGATTAAGTATTCTGCTGCTCTGACAGATTCCCCCTCGTTGTTTTTTATGCAGAGTGAACTCGTCAGGCTTCTCCCTGTACGATGTGCTCTATTTTTTCTTTGCTCAGAGTTTATTTTATGATTCTCAGCCGTTATGAATTTATCACATTCACTCTGAACCAAGTAGGTACGTGGGGCAGGAGGGTAAGTTTAACAACAACATCCATGTCATGAGGGTCAACTAGATTACTTGAGGTAATATCCCCTCAAAGTGGGCATTTTGTATATATATGTGTGTATATATCTATATACTTTTTTGCTGTATACTGATAGTAACATGAAGCTATTTCAGCTCCTGTGGGGCACCTCTCCTTTGCAGCACAGATTATTTTCTTTGGATGCACGTCTGCAGACCGTTTGTCTTTGGCAGCTTCACTTGTTTGTGTTAAAGCCACAGAAGATTGGCTAATGAGTTTCTGCCCATTTGTGCAGACCCTGCTCGCCTTTTAGCACCAGCCCTAGAAGTGGTTGTCCAAATGGTGGACACTTACTCCTCTGTAACCCAGATCTGAACAAATAGCACTTATGTCTGAACACAGACGGCCTCAGAGAAAGGCCTGCAGCTCCCAGCAGCAGTGCATTCATGGAAATCTGGAAGACAATATGCATTTTGATGCTAACATCAAGTGGCTGACTGCACTTTTGGCCGACTCGACACGGGCCGTGAGAAGTGATTTCACAAGTTGCATGCAGCCCCCTCCACAAATGGTATTAATCAGATGAATTGTAAAACACACTGGTTATTTTTACCGTTTATTTATTTATTTATTTTCAACTCTCAATTTTCTCTCTAATGCAATTTATCAACATTGTCTTCACGTTAATCCACTGCACATGTTTACATATCCTCCAAACCACGAGGTTTTTCACAGATAAGCTTTCTGGCCTCCTGTTCGGACCACTCAGGGGAGGAGCCGGGGAGTGGCCTAGAACAGAGTAGTCTTTGTGTCAGCTGTCCCCAAGTTGCTAAAGTTGTTTAGTTGTTCTTTTTTCTGAGGACCAACTGTTAGCAGTGATGGTCCGCAGTAATGCAGCCCAGAGGAATCTCTGTGAGGGCAGAGTGAGTGTGCCAACTTCTGTGGCACCTTCAGTCTTTGTTGGTGATAAAGGGAGGCTTTGGTGTGTGTTGATATGAGTGTGTGTTTGTGTGTGTGTTTGAAAGAGTCCACTGGAGCTATGCTGACCTTAGGGCACTCATGTGAAACCTCTGTAATCCCAGTGCCCACTGTGTGTTTTGTTGAGGGATGATGGCCTTCTTCAGTTTAGAATGATTCATTTGAGTCTATTCTAATATGAAACAGTATACTGTAGGTGACTGACTGACTGACTGAGTCGAGAACATATGACCATGTCTGTTCTGATGAAATCAGCTAATAATTAATATACCAAGTAAGAAAAAAAAAACCTCTCTGTCCCTGATCATGTCTCGGCTTCCTTTAATGGATTGTTTCATAATTTATATGCTCCGATGAGTTATTGGCTGCTGGATTCTGATGCAGAGTTATGCATGTCTTAAAGGTTTCACAGATTATGGCTCCAAACCGCTTGCCTCACCACAAAATGACCAATTCATGCTAGAATGGCTTCTCTTGCTACTTTCTCTGGAAATTTTCCGATTAAATTGCTGATTCAGGCTGCGAAAAAAAAAAATAGGAAAAGCGCTCCACCGCACTCGCCCTGCTTTGTGTCAGTCTTTCCCTCCTCGGCTGGATTAAAGCTTAATTCTCCTGAAGTGCGACAATTCAAGGTAGACCACATCTCCGACAGCTCAGATGTACAAAGATGATTGGCTCAATCCAACAACCAAATGGGGATCACGTTCTTATTATTGTTTGTCCTGGAATATTTCCTTGATGCATAAACTGCGTTCCTCAGGTTGTCCTAGCTGGGACACAGGACGGCGGAGAAACAAATGCAGACTCTACGCGCTCTGCTCCGTGCTTTTATATTTTTCTTGGGCAGCTGTTATCAAACTGCAAATGTTTGACTTGACAAGGAGTGCATGTGGCATGTGTCTGTGTGTGTGTGTTTGTCTGAAACTTTTCCCTCTCTTTCTGTCTCTTGCCGTGTGAGCTGTTGGCCATCCAGTCCTCCTCGCACTCTCAGCTCTGATTGTTTCCTGAGCACGGTGCCAGAGAGGAAGTAGGAGGAAGTTATTGGAGGAGCTGGAGAGAATTTATTATAGCCAAACACAGACACAAGAGACAGAAAAGAGGGTGGTGACTCCAGAGCTTTTCTTTTTCTTTTTGGGGGGTTTGGGAGAGATGAGTCTTCCGACTCATGCTGTCATAATTTAGGGATACGGCACCCTTGTTGGCGGCAAGCGTGGAGCAGACAGGCTTGCACTCCGTATCCTAAATGAAGAAGCTGTAATCCTGTTAAAGCCGCACGTTTGCTGTAAATGCGGCTGTGTGGCTTTCTAAGTGTCAGGAGGAAGAAAGCAGCCTTTTCCAAATGTTGCCAGAGAGCAGCCTTTCCTGGCCTGGAACCTAAAATGTTTTCTTTATCTGTAATCTGACCTTAGAAAGCAGCTGCTCCTTCTGCCGCCAAGTCCTGTTGTTTCCTCAAGCGTGTTGTTGTGTGGCTGTTGGTGTGTGTTGTGGAAGGGCCTCACTGTGAACGCTCACTCTACATCTGTGTGTGTGCACTATTCAGACCTAACAGGATATGCAGTTTTCATGCAGAGGAGGTTTAGTCCATGGGTTTGTTGCTCAGCCTTATGTTGAATAGAGGTGTGTTTTGCTCTCCACTGAGCAGAGGGGGCTTTTGCTTGCCAGCGGGGGTCTGTTCTCTGCCAACAAGTGTCCCAACTCTAACAGCAACCTAACAAAGGCTGCATTTTGAAAGAAAGGAATAAATCTTGTAGTGCATTGGTTAGCAAACAGATGGTGGTAAGACTGCTCTGCCAATGGGCAAGGCAGGGAGACGCAAACTCCACAGGCTTCGTGGATCAACGGTAGAAGAGATGGGTTTGAGTGAAATCTGCTAACAATCTGCTATGAGACATGAGTCAGTGAAACTGAATCGCTGTGATGAGGGTAAAAAGAAGTTCAGGGCAGAGGAAGGAAAATTATTTAAATCTGTTTGTTTGTGGTTTGACCAGAAATCAACAGTTCACTCACATAATAAATAAAAAGAACCAGAGGTTTGGACTTACTCTAACTTAACTCAACTCAACTTAACTAAACTGAACTGAACTCAACTAAGACTTGGGTCAACTCAAATGTAACTTTGTCAACTTGACTAAACAACACCTTACTCAAAAGGACTTGCACAATGCATCTGGCTTTTTTTGTGTGCAATGTGAATAAACAACAGTAAATAGAACCTTCTAAATTCCCCTTTTGTTTTTAAAACTGCTTGAACGACTAAACAACGATCAATAAACAGTAAAACTGAGTAAACAAATCTTCACTTAATGTTAATAATATTTATACCTCTCATCTCAAAGTGTTACTTTCCTGTCAGACTACCAGTTAATTAAAAACAAACAGCAATTTTTCTTTTTTTTTTTTTAGAAAGAACCTATA